ACTTATATCACAACAACAACAGATTGATTAGAACTTCAAAATTTCAATTATTATGTAGTACTATTCTCCTATCATAACACAACCTCATAATAAGAACACGTAAAAATACACAGTTCGATTTAAACTCACAAGATCTCCTGAACATTTATCCGATTACTCTCGAGAGCGAGTGGTAAATATACCCATGAATTCTGATTCATCTGACGGGTCATTTGCTCAGGTTTATAACAAAAGGATCGAGTTTGCAGCGATTGGATTAATGAACATGTATAACTCGGGTGGAGCTGTCGAGTCCGTCGACATTTTTGGTGAATCTTCTGGTTGTAAGATACAGATCAAGGGGAGAGGGTCTGGCAATTTCGGAGCATACTCGAGCGTCAAACCTAAATCCTGCAAGTTAAACTCAGAAGATAAAGATTTCAAATTTAGGGAAGAAGACAAACTGTTGGATATGGTGATTCCTTCAACAACAAGCCATTGGGATCTTGTTATTGCTTATTGAGGCTTTGTTTTTTGTCCATTAAAGAACTCACCACTCTGATTTTTCTGTACATAATTCTCCTCAACATGGAATAAAAAAGTCTTTTTAATTTTCCATCACAAACAAAACACATGTGTTTGTCCTTCTTGTATTTTTCTAATATTTTTTAATGAATTTGGAAATATTTTAAAGTTTTAGTTAAAAATTCACATTTACTTTAAGACTATGATTAGAATACATTCAAAAAAATATGTATAATTCATTTGCAAATTCACACATGTTTTAAATTGCAATATAATAGTCTTAAAGAAATAGTAAAAATTAAGTTTCATGTGGAATTGAAATCATACAATTTAAATTTCATTAAATTTATTAGAGAATTTGGAATTATATTGTTTAATTTAATTATAAAAATGTATGAATTACCACACAAAAAATTGTAATTTGCAAATAAATGTTATAAAATTTTAATTTTTTTTTTGGGTAAAATATAGTCTTAAATGATCATTTTTGTATATCAAAAATTAAATTTATTTTTGTGAAAATTCTAACATTTTAAACTTTTAAAAAAAAAAAAAATTGGTTCAAGTTTTTGATAATTTTTCGTTATTCTAATTAAAGATATTTAACTGTAAAAAAAATTTTTTTGTTTAAAAATATAATAAAATTATTAAAATTTAACTTAATTTGACCATAACAGTCTATCAACAGACTAATAAATTAAGTCGTTAATTTTATTAAAAATAATTTAAATATACTAATAATTTATAATATATTTATAAAGTAGTAAATTTTATATTCTCGGTGAAATTAAAACTCGGTAACCTTTAAATAAATAATATAATTTTTTTAATGTTAATATAATCAATTAGATATGATTCTACTTTATTATTGTTAAGGTAATAATAATTTTTTATATGATATTTTTAAATTATAATTTTTATATTTTATTAATTAAATAATAAATACATATTAATTATAGCGTAAATTTTTAATGAAAATTCACAGCCTTGTTGGAACGCAGAATCATTGAGGAGAACTGCTTGCGGTTTGGTTTAACGAACGTCAAAACGACATCATGTATATGCATAAAACGGCGAGAAAGACGAATCCTTGACAGCGAGGAGAGGGCAGTCCTGCTTGGTTGGAAACACGCGCCCCAATAAAGATACCCCAAGAGAAAATCGAAATTGAGCTTCTTCAAGAATTGACCTCCTTCCACCTTTCCTTTCTCTTCGCTTCCTTTCCGCTTTCTCTCAGTTTCCTTTTGTATTCTTCTGATTCTCTTCGTAAATCTGTTAACAAATTCCTGTAAATAATCATTGGTGAAATTCTGAAACTCGTTTTTGATTGCATAGATCGTGGTTTGAGCATTGTATTTGATCACTAAGATATGTCATACGCTTATCTCTTCAAGTATATCATCATCGGAGATACAGGTGATTCCTAGTTTTCTATTCTGATAATTTAGTTTCCTTTCTTTTTGAGTTTTGTGATAGAATTTTTCTATTCTGATCGATGATTGCTTTTTGAATTGAATTGAATTGAATTTTGTTTTATTTTTGTTGAAATCGGACGGTTGTTTGAATGTCGATTCTTAATTCGTATGGATCTCCGAGTTTGTCTTACTTGGATAAATAGCTTTGCTTGTAAATTTGTGTATGTATTTAGCTTACCATTATTGCTATTTTGATGGATTAATACGTGAAATTACGTAATTTTTCATTTTGATCTGTTAACTTCTTTTCTGTTTCCGGTTACAGGAGTAGGAAAATCCTGTCTTCTTCTTCAGTTTACTGACAAGCGGTTTCAGCCGGTGCACGACCTTACCATAGGCGTGGAGTTTGGAGCCAGGATGATCACCATCGACAATAAGCCTATTAAGCTCCAAATATGGGACACGGTCTCTTCTCTTTCTTACTCTGTCTTTTTCTGTCTACATCTAAATTTATAGAATGAATCTTCTTCTAGTCTATTGTCGACTTTAACCATGAGACCCCTCATTAATTGGCTCGACTCTCTCTGCGAGTAAACACTTAAGATTTAGCATAGTTGTCCCTTTTTAAAATATGCTGCTACTTTTGCCCAAGGCCGCTTGCCTACACATTATGGTCCATTGTGGAGCCAAAATATGTTGGGTTCTAATCCTGTTCTTGTGCCCTGGGCATGTCCCCGTTTGATGGGCAAGTACCAAAAGAAAATTTTGTCGCTACTCTTATCACTTATAGTTCATGGGATTCTTATTTGTGATAAATTTAGTTTCACTGAAGTTATGTTTGATGTTAGAAAATTTGTTCTTGATGGCTAGTCTACGTTATATTTTTTCTAATGTCTTCTTGGAATATGGCAGGCGGGTCAAGAATCCTTTAGATCTATTACAAGGTCCTACTACAGAGGGGCTGCCGGTGCATTGCTTGTCTATGATATTACCAGGTACTAAGTCAGTTTTAGCTTTAGTATGAATTGACTTGAGCCATATCTCCTACTATCCTTCTAGTTTTACATCTTTATGTGGTAAAAATTATTACATAATGTTGTCTTGGCATCTAGGCGAATTCCTTCCTAATAACTAGACATCATATCAAGTTTACAAACTCGCCACATGAAATTATTTTCTAGTTTTCATATTCTAAATTTACATCTATTTTATACATAAAAATAGATGTAAATTTAAATATCTATGATATTACCAGATACTAAATTAGTTTTGGCTTTAGTATGAATTGACTTGAGCCGTATCTTCTACTATCCTTCTAGTTTTACATCTTTATATGGTAAGAATTATTACATAATGTTGTCTTTGCATCTAGGCGAATTCCTTCCTAATAACCAGACATCATATCAAGTTTACAAACTTGCCGCATGAAATTATTTTCTAGTTTTCATATTCTAAATTTACATCTATTTTATACATAAAAATGTTTTAAGTTAGTAAACAATAAAAGAAGATAGGAATATTGAGGATGGAGTTTGAAAATTTTAAATTGTTGTTCAGTGTTCTGTATAATCTATTTTTATTTGTAGTTGTTGGTCCACAAATTTACACCAAATAAATGCTTTCATGTGCAAACATATGCGTAAAATGTGAATCTAGAAAATGAAAATCAGAAGATATCTTTTATATACCAAAATGAGTGAACTCCATAATTAAAATTTTCTGTAGCTCGATGATTTGTTCTTCGGCTTGAGTTTACCAGTATGTTTGAAGGAATATCAATAACAAAAAAAGCAAGAACATGGCAAACATTAGGCATCTAAAACCTCATTTCCAGAACAGAGTGTGGTTTCTTTTGTAGCATTTGTTGGTCACTTTATTCTTCTGTTTATACCCATCATGAAGTTAAGGAACCAAGTATGCTAATGCTATGGTTTTACTCTCCAGGAGGGAAACCTTCAATCACTTGGCTAGCTGGCTGGAAGATGCAAGGCAGCATGCAAATGCAAACATGACAATTATGCTTATCGGTAATAAGTGTGATCTTGCTCATAGGAGGGCAGTGAGCACAGAGGAAGGAGAACAGTTTGCAAAGGAGCATGGGTTAATCTTTATGGAGGCATCTGCAAAAACTGCTCAGAATGTTGAGGAGGTAAAAGAGATTGGAATATGATGTACATATACTATTTTCTAATTAAAATGTGATCTCCTTCAAAAATTGTTGCTATGAGGTTTGGTTTCTTCCATCCACATATTTTTCAACAACTTATGTTGTAAAATTCTATCAGGCATTTATAAAAACTGCTGCAACAATTTACAAGAAGATTCAGGATGGAGTATTTGATGTATCAAATGAGGTTAGTTTCACAGGCTTTATACTAACTGTCTTACATTGTTTAATAAACTTGGAGGAAATTTCAGTTCTAGGGGAAGCCATATATGGTTCATGATGGATATCTAAGTATGATGCTTGGATGCTATTTGTCTAAGGATTAACCTCATCTTGAAATGATTCCTGTGTTTTAATATTCACACAAGTTGTTGTTTCGATATCTCATTTTGCCTGGTCTCATAAGTAACATTTGGGAAAATGGTAAGGGTGCCTACATAAATATCCACGCCTTGTCGCTGACTTGCTGTAGTGATTCTTTTAACGTTTAATGAGGCTGTTATAGAATCTCAAAAGAAAAGGATGAAATATCTTTCATTCTTATGATAAGACCTTCTGAATTTTGAAGCTTGGCTTGTTAGAGGTCTTTGGCCTGCTGATTTCAGGACTATCTTAGGTTTTATGCTTGTTAAAAGTCTGAGAGGAAGCATTTATTTTGCATTATATAATGTTAGTACATGCCTTATATAATAAACTTTTCAAAATAAAAAATATTTAAATACAGAAACAGTAAGAAATCTCAGCCAGTGTTTTGTTACGGTTGTCCTGTTGATTATACAAATTACAAGTTTACATTTATAATGGTAATTTACTAATTTATAAGGGGTCAGCAAATAACTGGTAGTGAGCCCACGCCTGACTGACTGCTGAAACCTATCTTACCATAATGAATTCGAACATTATTATAATTTTACTGTAAGGGTTGTTGGGGGATGGGAGGCATCATGTAACCTGTCCTACTTTTTTCTGTATGGGGCAAGACTAGCAACATCATTATCAGGCTCTCTGGATATACAACTCATAGTTCCCTTTCTAAAAAGGTCTCACTGGTCTGAACCTGACGTGATGTACATCATTGCATCAGGTTGAACTTCCTGTGGGTACCAAGTAGCTAGTTTATAGATTTGTTCATTCTACTGATAACGTAAATGATTGTAAGAACCTTAGTTTAGTTGCTAATTATAGAATGTTTGGAGAAATGAAATAATGGAACAGAGTAGGTGAGGGGTGCTAATTCATGTTGCTGATATTCCAATCTTTTTGTGTTGCAGTCTTATGGAATAAAAGTTGGCTATGGAGGAATACCAGGGCCATCAGGTGGCAGGGACGGTTCTTCTTCTCAAGCCGGAGGCTGCTGCAATTGAAATTTCGGATCTCGTGCAAAAAATGGATTGCAAGCTGTCTATGTCTCTTATAGTTTCTGTATTCCTCTTGGTTCTTTCTGATTTTCTCCCGCTGAATGTTAGAACTCGTTCCCCGTGCTTGTGAAGATATTGTATAATCCTCAACCCTTTGATTTATTTGTCTATTTCTTTGTAAATTTTAAAGTGTTAGTTTCTTCCTTTCTATTTGGTTAACTGACTTGCACGTTTCTACTAAGTAAAAAGAGATTTTTTTTTTTCTTCTCCTCATGGTTCTATTTCTTAACATCAAATGTGTCCTGGAGAAACATAAATCTGCATTGATTTCCGAAAGCAAAATTTTGAATTTGACGAAATAGTTTGCACAATTGACTCTTTCCTTGGACATCGCACGAAAAACCTTTATGATAATTATTCGTGATTTTCTCAACCTTTGTATCTTCATCATCCTCGAAAGAATTATCACTTCTTCTATGGTAAGAGTTTCAATTGAATGATGATAGAAGTATAGAGACATTTTAATATCGGAGTTCCAATAAAGGTTCTGGTAATGTCCAATATGATCATAGTAAAAGTAACAGGAATTGAGATTTTCGTACTCCACTTTTGAGATTAGTTTATTTGAATCTTAGAGATCAAAAGTCTCTAAGATTGATGTAGAAATAGGTAAATGTTGTAGGTGTCTCAAATTATAATATAATCTGTATGAATTTTTTTCAATTGCCTTAGTTAATGTACACGAAAGAAATTTTAAATAATCTATCGTAATTCTTATCTCAATCGATATATGTTAAAATATTAATTCTTTTTTTTATATATAATCAGGTAGTAGTAATTTACCATATGTGACTTTTTAATAACTTCCTGAACGTTTTTTAAGTAGTTAAATTTGACAACATAAAATCGAAAATTAATTTTTATCATATATTTTATCTCTGTCTTTGACATGTACTTAATTTTCGTATATAGAATCTTTTGATTTACCTTGTATATTATTTCATAATTTATTCAAATGGGTAAATTTAACAAAATAATTAATATTATTATAATGTTTATTTATTTAATCATTAAATTATTTTATTAGATAATATTATCAATTTGTAACTTAATTATAACAATATATCAAATTATTTTCATTATAATTTTTAATTCATTTATTATGGTGGAATTAACATTTAGAGAAAAAAAAAAGAATTTATAAATTTTTGAAGAAATATTAAATATAATGTAAAATTATTATTTATAAGTACAAACTTATATGTACAATATTATAAGTTATGTATATATTGTCTAATTATTTTTTAAAAATATGTTCTAATTAATTTATTATTTATTTATCTATTTAATTATTAAAATATAATGAAAAACAATTTATCAACCAAAACCATCCATTTATTTATTTAATCAAACTTTAGGGCAGAAAAAATGGAAACAAATATGAAGTAACATAGTACTTTGCTAACCTTTAAAGGTATTAAGCAATTATTAAATATATTACATTTATTTATTTAAACATTTTAATATTGTGTAATCTAATTTTTATTATTACACATAAACTTTGAAAAAATTTCTAAAAAATATATAATTTTTTTATAATTTTATATAAAATAATAAAAAAAAATAGAATTCATAAAAAAATTAATCCTTATTAAGTTAAATTTCTTAAAATATATTTGAAAAAATTTATTTAGAAATACATTTACTTTTTTAAGCTGCTGAGTTTGGTTTTGTCTGTTATAATTATTCAAATTAAAAAAAAAAATTAAATTTTAATTTAATTATCGTAATTATATAAATACATTAATAAATTCAGTTATTTATTTATTTTATTTTTTTAATGAAAAATAGAGTAAAATTTATTAAAAATTAAATTGAAAATAAATTTGGAAAAAAATGGTGAAAATTGGGTTCAAATGATATTTTTGAAAAAAAATAAAAAATCAGAGAGTTAAAATACAATTTAAAAAAAATTTGTCGCGTCAGACGTCTGGTCAGCAGTCCCGACCAACCAGGACACTTCAAGTGGCAGAGGCGCTGACGCGGGAGGCCACGCAGGGGGGAGCCACGTGGGCGATCCGCGTGCGCATGATCGAACGACTCAGGTCTATTTCCATGCGCACGGACGGTCCAGAGTGAATCACGATTGACGGTCCATATTGGATCGTGATGAACGGTCTAGATTCACTCCCTATTTAATCATGATCAGACGGTTCAAATCAAACGCGATGGATGGTCCAGATCAAAAACATATGGGTATAAATAAGTTCATCCGCACCCAAACTCTAACCCTAACCGCTAGAACCCATCGCCGGAGAAAACAACCCAGTTGTCGGGGAGCCGACCGCTGCCACCTGCCGTCGCACCGGAACCCTTTCCAACCGCTAAAAAAGGTAAAAAAAAAATTTGGACGAAATTCAATTTTAAGCCCATCCATGACCAAATCAGAGTGAAAGAACTGGCCAATTGACCGGAAAATACCGACGAAGCCCGGCAGCAGCGCCGCGAGAAATTTCACAAACCGCATCCGATGAGGCCCTTCCTTATTCCCGTTTTGCGTAATTTTTCCACCATTATTATCACTGTTTTATTCTCTACAAGTTGACCGAAGTGAAACATCCAACCGCAACGTGAGCTGGAGGAGTCGTCGCACTGGAGAGCCCTGTCGCCGGTGAATTTCAGTTTTTCGTATTTTTTGAGCCCACCGAGGCCCTTTAGTGTGTGCGATCGCAGGAATCGATATAAAATCGGCCGAATTCGGCCAAAAATGACCGACTCGAGGCAGACCGTCGCCGTGCTGGATTTTAAATTAGCTGAGTGGGCTCTAGGACTGATATTGGGTTTATTTGGAACATTTGTTGGTACTATAAGTGCGTTTCAGTTCCCTTAAGAAAAATTCAGGGAACTCAGGGACCGCTCATAGGCGCAGTAAAACATTTAGCTTTTCGACATTAAATCGAATAAGGACTCCTCACCCTATTCTCTATCATAGAATTGAAGTTTAAATAAATAATAATACGGTATTGTGTACAAATTAAATAGATGTGCATAACTAATTACGGATTACTAATGAAACCCGAACCGGACATTGTTCTCTGTTGATTTATTTTACAGTCTAAAAGTATGATAGTATCTGATTTATCTATTTTATGATTTAAATGCATGTATTACTGCCTTATCTAACTTCTGTTTGATTTGAGATTTGAGACATGATTGCATTACTGGGTGCATATTTATTTATTTATGTGATTATATTTGATTTGGTAATGGAGACTAGAGAAAAACAGGAAATGGATGTGATCAAATAAACAGATAGAATGACAGCCTTACTAGTTATTATCTGTATGGTATTATTGTCCCTATAAGTTGTTTTCATAAATTCCATTACGGTAAGTGAACGGTAGATGGTTTTATGATTAATAAACGAATTTGCTAAATTTAGTGTTACATTAGTTGTTTTAATTTTATACCAACCTTTATTTCTATGTCGGTAATATAGTATGATATCCTTATTAGAATAGTGTATCTCATCATTTATTTAGCTATTTCAGATCAAGATCATCTGATTCTAGAGCATGATCCTTAAGAAAATTACGAGTAAATGTTAGATACTTTCTATTTTTCATTATTTTTCTTATTTATTGTGTTTCTTTCAGATAATTCATTCCGTAATGTTGTTCAGTACTTTTAAGTCATTGTGCAAAGAATGTAAACCTAAATATTTTATTTCGCTTCCGCGCTTAAATTATTATATATTTTTTTTTGCATTTCTGTAATCGCTACAACTATAAATTCATAATATATTTATATAATAACGAGATTTATATTCTTATTAAAATTTTAACTAATTATTTTCAAGTAAAAAATAAAATTTTTAACTGTTAAATCACCGTGTTATTGGTATAAATTACATATATTTACTTGGGTTAAAAATTATGTAAATTTATTATTTTAGATAATATTTCTTTTTCATCTTAATTAGAACATACATGCCATTTAATAACACATAAAATTAAAAGTGTAGAAGAAGTAAATGTAAATAATAATTATTTACTGTAAATGGGTATATTTTATTAATTATATAACATATACACATTTAATATTATGTAATATAGTATTAAATATAATTGAATACATATAATTCGACTTAATTATATAATTTTTTATATAAAAAGTAACACATTAATCATCAAATTAAAGAATTGTATGTATTTTAGATAATCTTTTAATTATATTTTCATTGAAATTGAGTATAAACATAAATAAATTTGATAAGACTTTTGAATTTGTTCATTGGCCCAATCTTCTCCCCCTCGCCATTTGCTAATTCCCGATTGCGATTCTTTTTCCTGGTAATAAATATATATATATATCTATGTATATAAGATATGTATATATATATATATATAAATGTATAGATGTGCAGTACTAATCTAGATGTATAATTAAATATAAAAATGGTAAAATACAAATGCATACAGAAATATATAATGGCTGTTCCGGCTTCTTCTTCCTCTTTCTTCTTCTTCTCTTCCCCTTTCTAGGCTTAGCCCATCATCAGGAATTAAAGCAGTTCATAATACCACTCTTTTCTCTTCAAAACCATAAAGAAGACCAGAGAGAGAGAGAGAGAGAGAGAGAGAGTGTGTGTGTGTGTGAATCTGATGTGTGGCCTTTTCAATTAGAGGTTATATATATATATGTATATATATATATATATATATGTATGCATAGAACAGATGCGTGTATCGAAGATTCCCACCCTATCGTATTCTCTCTCTGATGTGAATCAATAACCGGATCTGTCTTCGTAAGCATCCGAATCTCTGTTACTTCAACTTTTCTTTCTCTTTGATTTCGATTTCGACCTTGTTTTCCTGATTGATTATGGCGTCGCCTGGGAATCCAAATCAACAGCCGCAACCAGCCGGATTTGATATGAATAAGCTCTTCAAACCCTCTTCTGCTCCGATGAATATGAACATGATGCCTCCGATTCCTACTCCAAGCTCTCCAAATCTTACTTCTTCGCCTTCTTTTCCTACGCCTGCAACCGCTCCTCCGCCTCCTTATCTCACGCCTTCTTCCTCTTATCCTCCACCCACTGGTCCGTACTCTTTTCACCACCATCCTCACTACATCCCTTACCCTCCTCCTCCTCAACACCATCCTCAGCTCCAGCTTAATAGACCACCAATTTCATATCCACCTCCGCTGCAGCCCACTCCACCAGTTTTACCACCAACATCTTCTCCACATATCCCCTCTACTAACCCTACCTCCGGTGGTGACCTTCTCATGGCTTTCTTCGGCAATCCGAACCAGACAATCTCCTCTCCTTCCCCCTCTTCTTCCGAGTTTCAGACTGCTGCCTCCTCCAATCCTCCTCCCGTCCCCTCTGCCCCCCCTCTCAGCGTCTCTCCTGCTCCCATGAGATTGCTCAGTAGCAAGCTTCCTAAAGGAAGGCATCTAATTGGCAATCACGTAACTTATGATATAGATGTTAGGTTCCAGGGTGAAGCTCAGCCCCAACTTGAAGTCACTCCCATTACTAAGTACGCCTCCGATCCAGGCCTTGTTCTTGGTCGCCAGATTGCTGTTAACAGGAACTACATTTGCTATGGTCTCAAGCTTGGCGCCATCCGCATCCTCAATATCATTACTGCCATGAGATCTTTGTTGCGAGGCCACACCCAGGTTTCTTCTTCTTCCTACCAAATCGTTTGTACTCTTTTCTTTATTTGTTGGATGCAACTAGATAATTTGTTATGGTTAGAAATGTCCTATCTTTCGGTTTTTATCTTCATGTTATTATAGTTGGCTCATTGCAAGTTGTTATTTTGTTGCTTACTAGTGATTTTCAACTCCACCGGCCAGGCCTAATTCTATTTATTATCTTCCATTCCACCATCTTGTTATATAATTTGATGATTGCACCTAAGGAGTCTTACCTGGAAAGAGCGGATGAAATGCAAAGCAACATTTTCTACTCTTACTGAATTTCTGTGCATTCCAAGAGATGTTACCTTTTTTGCAACAGTTGCATTTGCAAATTCTGATGAGCTAGGATCTGGAAAGAAAGTTGTTGAAGAAGATGATTCTCCATTTACAATCACTGAATTATGAATTTTAATATGTAATAAATGTAGAGTGGCCTTGTGAGGTTACCATATCCAAAACTTCAACATTCCCTACTTACCAATCACGGTTTTCGTATCTAGATATATATATCCATATATGCATAAGTATACACACACATACATGGAATCGTGATTGGTAAGTACCTATTATGAATGTATATATACATACATTCATATATATATATATATATATATATGTACTAGGGTAACTTATAAGTGTTTGGGAAGAATTACAATTGGATCTATAACTTCTCAAAAACAACAAGCTAGCCATTTTATGAAGGAATATTATAGTTTTCAGTTACTCAATCATGCAATATGTTTTTGTGCACATTTCAGTCCTTTTTATATTTTAAAATTTTCTTTACCGTATAATTGCTATTTTTTCAAAATATAATATATCCATTTGTAATTGTAGCTAAATATCAATGATCTTTCTCTAATTTTCCCTATATAATATCTTTATTCTATGCAATTCATTTTGCGGAAAATTCCTTCATTCTGACAGTACAACTGCTTGGACTCCAGAAGATTTTGATAATATGGTTTTGATCTGTCATTACCTGTGACTATATCAACTATAGGGGGGAAAAAGGAAAGTAAGAGCAGCTACTGAATGTTTACAGGATAATGTCTTGAAACATGTCATGTAGCTATTTCATGTAAGATAAATACTCTGTAATGACAAAGTTCTCACTAATTTGTGACAAAACAATTTGAGGCTGCTTATATGTACAGAATGTTGGTAACTATTAGTTGATAGAATTTCTTATTAGGTTTACTTGTGATTTTTACCAGGATTTTTCTTTTATAAATACTTTTGAGATAACTATTTAATTTTTATAATTGCTCCTCTCTCTTTCCAAATCTTTTATCTTGTTTTTATTTGATTTTATTTTCTTAATATAGAGAGTGACAGATATGGCTTTCTTTGCCGAGGACGTGCATCTGCTGGCAAGGTAGCTTTCTGTCTTGTGATCCTTCAGTTTGTTTTTGTCGAAACTCGCTAACCCCTCATTTCTGCAGTGCAAGTATTGATGGACGGATTTTTATATGGAAGATCAATGAAGGTCCAGATGAGGAAGAGAAGTCTCAAATTTTTGGGAAAATTGTTCTTGCCATTCAGATAGTTGGACAAGGGGAATCTATACATCCACGACTTTGCTGGCATCCTCACAAACAAGTAATCATGGATTATAACTGGTGTTATCAAATAAGCTATGTTGGTAACTTTAGATGATTAACAAGAGTCTTTGGCAGGAAATTTTGATGGTTGCAATTGGAAATCGCATCCTAAAAATTGATACCACAAAGGTTGGGAAAGGTGAACGTTTTTCGGCAGAGGAGCCTCTTACTGCCCTCTTGATAAGCTGATTGACGGGGTTCAGCTTTTTGGCAGACATGATGGTGAAANNNNCGGAAACCACCTTTTATTATTTGGTTTGGAGATATTTATTTCTGGTGATCTGATTCATGTTAATACGTCAAAAGCATATTCCTTGTATTGCCATTTCAATAAAGGATGTTAAACGTGATTTTTGTGCTTAGAATGTTAAACCTGATTTTTCTTGTAAGTCAGTTTATGCCATATATGCTTTTGTGTCTACTAATGTCTCACAGTTAGAAAACTAATGTTTGCAACAGGTGAAGATTTGGGAAGATCGGAAGGCAACACCGCTTGCATTGTTGAGAGCACATGACGGTCATCCTGTTAACTCTGTGACCTTCTTGACCTCTCCACATCGCCCTGATCATATTGTTCTTATCACGGGGGTAAGATGCTACTCTTTCTTGTATTTCCATTTTGTTTGCCCTGAAACTCTACCTGTATTATATTGCTTTAACATATAAATGATACATTATCAAGGGTGGTATGCTGTGTTTGTTCGCTGTTAAAAGTTGCCTTTATAATTCACTGGTCAATATCCTCTTTTTTTTCTGTAGTTCTTAACATTTTTTCCATTTTCTCATATAGTTAATGTTAAACTTGGTTGAGTTTATTTATTTACAGGGGCCGCTAAATCGGGAAGTGAAGATGTGGGTCTCTGCAGGTGAAGAGGGCTGGTTGTTACCTAGTGATGCTGAATCCTGGATTTGTACTCAGACATTGGACCTAAAAAGTTCTGCTGAGCCAAAGCTTGAAGATGCATTTTTTAATCAAGCTGTAGCTTTGCCCCGGTCAGGTCTCATTCTACTTGCAAATGCCAAGAGGAATGCCATCTATGCCATCCACATAGATTATGGGCCTCATCCTGCTGCAACTCGCATGGATTACATAGCAGAGTTTACTGTTACCATCCCCATATTGAGTCTTACTGGAACAAGTGAAGGTTTGCCTGGTGAACATACTGTACAGGTTTACTGTGTCCAAACGCAGGCTATTCAACAGTATGCACTAGATCTATCTCAGTGCTTGCCACCTCCTATGGAAAACATGGAGTTGGAGAAATCCGATCCGAATGTTGCTTGTGTTTCTGATGCAGCCAATTCTGATATTTCTGCAGTTCTGGAATCATCACAGGGAAATAAATCACCTGAGATGCCTGTAGGTAACACAATTTCAGTTGCACCTGTAATTTCAGGCAGCTCAGAAAGTGCCCCAGTAGCAAGTCATCCAGAAAGAGTGGCTTCTTCTGATGTTTCTAGCTTGCCAGAAATCATTCCTTCAGGCTTTGAAACTAAGCCAAGTAATTTACCATCTCATGGTAGTGCTGAACGTATTCACACTGCATCACCTCCTCTTCCATTGAGTCCAAAATTATCTCAAAAATCATCTGGTTTTAGAAATTCTCCTAATAGTTTTGAGCCTTCACCACTTGCTGATCATGGTAGTGAGCAGTCAGGTCCTGATGCCGATCACCGAATAGAACATAAAGATGCATCTTCATCAGGTGATAATTTGCGGAAGGTTGACAAAAATGTTTTGCAGAATGACATTTCTGTGGTTCCTGATCCACCTGTAGTGTTTAAACACCCAACCCATTTGGTAACACCATCAGAGATATTATCTACTGCTGCTTCGTCAGAAAGTTCTCAGATTAATAAGGCTTTGAATTTGGGAGATGCGAAGGTTCAAGATGTGTCTGTCAACAATGATGCAGAAAGCATTGAGGTAGAGGTAAAAGTTGTGGGCGAGACAGGATCTGGTCAAAAGAAGGAGTTCGACCATTTGAGAGATCCTCATGTTATTGTTGCAGAGAAAAAGGAAAAATCTTTCTATTCTCAGGCCTCAGATTTGGGCATTCAGATGACAAGAGACTTTTGTGTGGAGACTTATAATGCTGAGGGAACTCAGCAGGCTAATGATGTTAGTGTTATTGAGGGACCGGATAGACCTTGCAACTCTGGTGAGGAAGAAGAGCAAGACGGGATGAAAGTTGTGACTCCAAAAGCTGTTGCATTGGAAGCTCCTGCTGCAATTCCACAATCATTAACCCCAGCTATGAAAGGAAAAAAACATAAGGGGAAGAATTCTCAAGTGTCTGGTCTGTCTTCTCCTTCTCCAAGTCCTTATAACTCGACAGATTCATCGAATGAGCCAGGATGCAGTCCTGGTGCCCCATCTAACGATGCTGCTTTATCTCAGTTGTTGTCCATGCATGACATGATTGAACAGGTATCTTTTACAAATTTCAAAGTGGTAATCATTGTGTATGTATCTTGTTTCAAAATGCTGTTAATGAGCTTGATGTGATGTTCACTTGTGTTATACTTTATCCTCTTTTTGGAATTTTTTTGAGGAGCTACTTTGATATAACTGAATCCCCACATAAATAAATAGCTCAGAATTACAGTTTCATTCTATAGGCAAAACATTAAAATCCCTTGCCCTGTATTTAATCGATAACTTCTCCTATGCCTTTAATTCTTCTTGTGTGGTTTCCATGCATAAGCCACAGTTAAGGTTTAATATATTCAAGTAGCTGGGTATTTATCTTCTCTCTTTGACATGCTCTTCACAGAATGACAGTTATTTCCTGCTTCATGTCTGGTTACAAGGATTTGTTTAATCGCAATTTCTTATTTAGGTACTTTGGCACAAATTCACAAATATTGTAGGTTTTAGTTGTAAATTTAAAATTTAATTCCATTTACCGGAGGGTGTAAGTTTTATTAGAATGACAAAAAATTGACCTCGCATAGAATTCCACATGGAATTACAAAAAAGCATAGTAATTTCGTCAAGGTTGATGGAATTCAGAATTTATTATCACATTCCGTGAGAAATGCCATATATAGTCATTCTTTAATCAACTAAAGATGAATTTCACCATTTTCTAGTTGAATTGAGTGTAGATTTAGAAAATAATTTCGTAAAATATTAGCTTTGTTTGGGACTATGGAAGAATGGAATGTTATGTCATGTCATGTTTCTCATTGAATATTAGGGTCTTATATAGGGAGTTCCATATGAGTAGTAAAGTAAAAACAACTACTTACAAGAGAGGAGTGTATTACTAATATACTTTTTACTTCGCTTAATACATACATCTACTTAATATACAATCCTATTTAATATACACCTCTTAACTTTCGAACATATCCCTGAGAAAAGCTGAAATTGTCATAAAATCTTCACTATAAATCTATGTGCTTCTATTTTAGACCTACAACTAACTTTAGCATTGACCCGTTTCTGGGCATTGTGTGCTCTTTGAACTGTTATTGATCATCTTTTTGGTACCCCGAAGTTCTGTGACAAGTATCACAGGCTTTTCTTTCATTACTTGTATAAAGTTTCCATACATGGTGTTTAGATATATTACTGATATAGGACAAAGAGAGCCTGCAGATACAACATAGAGAACTTTAACAAAACCCAAAAATTGGGGATCCTAGGAAATCTACTAAGTTGAAAAATAATAAACTAATTGAAAAACCTATTGTAGCAAATGACTAAATAAGATCCTAACTAAATAAGAAGCAATAAGCTCACACTAATGATAAGCCCGCTCCTTAAGCTAAATTCCCCAAATCATACGTAAATGTTATGGTTACATGAATATCTCTTAGTGTTGAAATGTTTGCATCTGATGATCCTCCTGTCCACATTAATTGCAATATTTTATTTGGCTAACTATTTTATGCCATCTTGCAGTTAATGGACATGCAAAAAGAAATACAGAAGCAGATGAATGCAGTGGTTTCTGGCCCAGTTAATAAAGAAGGGAAGAGACTAGAGGCATCCTTAGGCCGGAGCATTGAGAAAGTTGTTAAGGCTAATATGGATGCTTTGTGGGCTCGTTTCCAAGAAGAAAATGCAAAACATGAGAAGTTAGAACGAGATCGCACCCAACAGATAACAAATTTGATCTCTAATTGTATAAACAAGGACTTGCCAGCCATATTTGAGAAAACATTAAAGAAGGAAGTTGCAGCCGTTGGCCTAGCTGTAGCTCGTGCTATTACTCCAATAATGGAAAAGTGCATATCTTCAGCTATTACAGAATCATTCCAGGTTAGAAATCCAAAGCTTCTTGTCGTCTCAGTTAATTTTTAGACATCTAATTAGGATTTCAGTGCTCCATTTTCTTTTTTTCTCCTTTTATCTTTTAATATGTCGAGGCGCATCACATTATGTGAATAAAGAAACATGTTTGCAATGTGCTATTTTAGGAAATAAGAGGAAATAGGAATCAAATGTCAGGTCCTAAAGGGTTTTTGACTTGGCTTATTTTGGGTTCTTACAGACTCCTTTGGCTTATTTTTGACTCTTTAACAACATTCTAAAATATTTTTATGCATTTAATACATAGCAAAAACTTGTAAATTAGGCAGTTTATAAGCATTTGCAACAATGTTTCCAGAAAATTGTTGAGGGTGTAGCTTTCATTCTAGACAGCTTATAAAATAAGAGGTTATATGCTCTCTAAAAACATTGGTAATAACTAAGTGAAAAAGACCATAATAACCCTTAACGAATTTTAAAATTATATCTGTTTACACTCTATCTATCCCACTTTTTAAGGTTTTTCTTTATCATTTGAACATAACTGACAGCTTATAAGATATTTTTAGCACACAGGTAAGTAGATTAATACTTTTTTTCTTGAAGAATAAAGTGTAAATAAAGTAATACAACTTTATTTCCTTGTTACCCACAAACTTGAACTGCTTATGAAAAAAATTTGCCTCAGTTTATATGCAGTTAAAGAGCTTATGGAAAATAAGATGTGCCAAACACCTTCGTAAAACTTCTCTAAAGAATAATGGAACATAAGTCTTTGATGGCTCCTACCTACTTAGTTGCTGCTGTAGTTTTACATTTTAAAGTGGCTTGCTGCACTGTTCTTTTTCCATTGAAAAAGAAGTAATGACTTGATTCATTTATATATTAGCATGCTGCCATGATTTTTTTGCAGAAAGGGGTTGGTGATAAGGCAGTGAATCAGCTAGAGAAATCAGTATGTTCCAAGCTAGAGGCCACAGTCACCAGACAAATTCAAGTACAGTTTCAAACTTCTGGAAAGCAAGCTCTTCAGGTATTTTTGAGAGTGCTTTTGTGAACCTTAAGTTAGTTTACTGAACAACTCAATCAATCTTTCTTATTAGGCTTCTCCAGCTGAAAAGTAAACTCCAAGTTTTTGCCTCTGCTCCCGCAAGAGAACCTTCAATGTCTTTTTTAGTTATTCTTTGTAATTGTTGATTAATTCAGTGAAATTCTAGAGGTTCTTCACAATTGTCTCTTAGATGGATGTGCCCTTGCTACTATATGTTTAGAAATTGCGAACTGTTTATATGAGAGTCATCCTGATGATTCATTGAGTAGATAAAAAGTGTTAATTGTGTCATAATCATTGGTAAATACCTAATATTAAGCAAAGATGGCATATTAAGTGCTTGGTAGGATCGAAATTCTAGTGAATCAACTTGAATATGGGAAGTTGCTATCTACATCAAGCGTGGACTCATGGTGCCCAAGTGTAGAATGTGGTTTCAGCTGGCACCCTAGTTAACTTAAGATATCTCCCATTGCACATGGGGAATCAGATGGTTGACCATCTGGATGCAGAAATCAATTTTTTCCTCATTCAATTTCATCTTGAGTGCCATTTCTGATGGATATCTTCTTTACAGTATTTGCTCTAAGCATATATCGGCTTTAATATTGTTGTTTGTTACCTTTGTCTCTCAAAAAAGTAGTTGTTATCAGCTTCCACAATTTTCTTTTATTCGTCTAAGTTGAAGTTCTCTCTTTCCCTTCTCTGTTTCTGCTTATTTCATCATGACATCTTTTAGAAGAACAGTAATGGGGTTGGCTGTAATGTGAAAATGGTTCAAATTGGTGCTTGCAGGATGCATTAAGGTCTAGTTTAGAGGCTTCCGTTATTCCTGCATTTGAGATGTCATGCAAAGCTATGTTTGAGCAAGTTGATGCCACATTCCAGGAAGGTCTTATCAAACACACAACTGCTACTCAGCAGCAATTTGAGACTACTCATTCTCCTCTGACCATGGCATTAAGGGTATTGCTGCTTAACATGATATTTAAAGTTGGGAGCATATTACAATATTTATATATATATATATATATAAACATATATATAACGATTTGGTGTTGGAAATGACTAATTCCTTTCAGTTTGGTGAGAAAAATATATAATTTGTTCTTTGCAATTTTTTGTAACGATTTTATATTGACCATGTTCCTTCAATGTGGGAAAAATGTATTGACTTGTGGCTTTTATGTTAGGTGGCTATGCTGTATTTGAATACATCTCTTTTTTTATGCTTCTTCTCTTCTTTAAAAAAAAAAATTGGAGTATTTTGTTGCAAGGACCTCATCAAGTTTCTTTTCTACATTTAGCTAGTCTCTAACCTTTTTAATTCATCATTTAACATTATAATTTTTTCTTCTCGTTGAAAGAAAAGGTTTACCTCTGGGTTGAGAGAACAGGTTTTTCACCATTTGTTATTTGATCTACTGGTATACTGACTCTTCTATAACAATGATTGATTGTTTATTTACTTTCCAACATAAACACTCAAATTTGAAGGTACAGAGCTCCATCCATCTATATATTGCATACTAAGCTCCTAATCTACTAGTCTAGTGTATGCTGTTTTACACATGGCCAGTGAATCCTTGTTTTTATGGTTTCGTTGGCAGAGGGTAAAATTACACACTACTGTTGTTTTTTTAATGTTAACTTTTCATTCTGAATCATAGATAAAAAAATTCAGATGACCTAATCAAATATTACAAGTACAATATATGCTTTTGCAGGATGCAATAAATTCAGCATCATCAATAACTAAGACTTTAAGTGGGGAATTAGCTGACGGGCAGCGAAAGATCCTTGCTCTTGCAGCTGCTGGTGCTAACTCCAAAGCAGGAAACCCCTTAGTAACACAGCTGAGTAACGGACCACTGGCTGGTCTACATGACCTGGTATGCATTCTATATATTTCCTAAATAAGAAAAGATGCAACTTCACATAGGAGATTGGTGATTTTTGTTGTCATAAAATTAAGTTTGATTAACAGCTGCAAACAAGTGCTAGTAAAAGGTATTATTTCTCTGACATCTAGAGGGATTTTACTTATACAGCAAGCTGAGGCACCACCGGATCCAACTAAAGAGCTCTCAAGGTTGGTGACTGAAAGAAAATATGAGGAAGCTTTTACTGGAGCCCTTCACAGAAGTGATGTCTCCATAGTTTCCTGGTTGTGTTCTCAGGTATGTGCGGTGCCAATGTGGCCTTCCCTGCATCCCATCACATAAATGCCCAGTTGGATAAAATTGCTTTGTCTCCGTCGAAACATATTGAAGTAGTTGTACTATTATTTATAAAGGTCTTTGTTGACATAAACTAGATATTTCAACTCACATAGTTGATTGCATGTATATGATATAGCTGTTCTGGTGATTATGAAAATGCCTTTTGGAATGAATATATTAATATCTGTGATTTGAGTGAGGAAGTTCTTCCAATAAAAGATTTGTGGTTTGTGGTCATTATGACTGGATAGAACCTCGTGTCCTTTTTTTTCTTTTTGGGAGAAATAACCTCAATGTCTTTCAAGCAAAAAGGTTTTGAATTTTAGATAAACTAAGATGATTTTGATTGCTTGCTTTTTATTTCAATTATTAGATACTTCTTCTTTACAACAATTTTGGGAACAGTAAATCCGTCTTTAGATTATGTAAGAGGAAAAAAAAATGGTACTCTGAGCTCTTCATGAAGTCAATTACTGTGATGAAATAATCAGTTTTTTTTAATGAGTGATTGCTTTACCCCTTATCCTCTTGTGTCTACAAAGCCAAAACAAAGGTTTTTAACAAGTTTCTGCATGAAAACATATTGAAATAGCTGTACAATTATTTGACTGTCCTGGTAAGGTGGATGACACAAACTAGGTAATTAAACTTTGGATATTTTGTTACTTGTGGCTGTGCAATGATTTAGCTGTTCTAGAGATCATAAAGTAGTGACAAGGTTGTAGGAGAGGCTGCAGTACCGAGGAGCTTTTACTCCGGGATCTCTTAAATTTGCTATTATTTTACAGGCTGACCTACAGAGTATTTTATCAATGGTACCACTCCCTCTTAGCCAAGGAGTACTCCTTGCCCTGCTCCAGCAATTGGCTTGTGATGTTAGTAAAGACACCCCTAGGAAGTTGGCCTGGATGACAGATGTGGCGGTTGCCATAAACCCTGGAGATCCAATGATTGCCATGCATGTTCGACCTATCTTTGAGCAGGTGTACCAGATACTAGGACATCAACGGAACCTACCCACAACTTCGGCTTCTGAAGCATCGAGCATCCGGCTTCTTATGCATGTGATAAACTCTGTGTTAATGAGCTGTAAATGATTATTGAGTCTTTTTTTTTTCTTTTTTCTGTTTAATCTGTGAAAATTTGTAAGTTGAACTTTTGGTTTGTATAGAGATTAGGGAAGTTAACTCGGGGAAAACAGAGAATAACTTCGGTGTATCCAGTTGGTACGTTGTACTTTGCGTGAAATAGTCAAAAGATTTTTTTTTTTTTTCGATTATTTTTTATTATTTGTACGATTCCATTCAACCCTTTTATCTCATGCACAAATACATGGTAGTAGTTAACAGCACTTGCAGCATCTGTGAAGGGAACGAAATGGGAGATTGGTAATTGGAGCCGGCTGCTGGCCTCATTGTTTGGGCTTTTTGAGTGTGTTGTTGAAGTTTCTGTGTAATTGTAGATATCTGTGGTTGTTTTCTCTGTGACAACGTTTTCAAATTCTAGTGTGCTACTAATTGCAAAACCAGACAAACACAGATGTTGTATGTAAACATTGTATAGCTCTCCTCCTCCTCTTGTCCTAATTGGGTGACAATATACAGTAATCACAATATGACTTTTAATGTTAAAGAATATATAAGATTATACAATTCGATAATCAATAATGGTAGTGAAAGTATCAGAAAAATACCCGTGTATATGTAACTACAAAAATACAGAGCATGTATTTATTTTAGTTTTTTTTTTTTTTTTTACATATAAAAAGAAATCATTTTGTTGGAATACATTTAGATTTCTACTGAAGCTGAAGCATGGTGTTTAAGGTAGGTTCTCTAGTCTTCAAGTTTTCTGTTGTACGATATCGCAGAATGACTCAGTGATCCATGTGGTTTCTCTTTTGAGTTCGAAGAATCAACTGCAGGCTTTCTTGGTTCACAATCACAGAGAAGGCGGCTCAGATTCTTATATGATGTTTTCTGGCCGATCTTCTATTTCAATTCCCGCAATATCTGCTGCAACAGCGCTTGCCAAAGAAACCCTTCTCCTCCTCCGTTCTGCTTCTTCTCGGTTCGCGACGTCTGTGTCTCCCGACTCCGATATATCCGACAACGAACATCTGTATACACCGTTCGTAATCCAAGACAAAGATCTTCTTCGCAAAACCCTGCAAACTCCAGGAACTGGCCTACATGTTCTTGACCTCATCGACCGAGGTTCCTTGGAACCCGACCGAACCATCTACAACTTGTTGCTCAAGAAGTGCACCTCCTTGAAGCGACTCAAGGAAGGGAGAATCGTTCATTCCCACCTCCTTAATTCGCAGTTCAAAGGTGATCTTACGATGCAAAACACCCTGCTCAATATGTATGCAAAGTGTGGAAGCTTGGAGGACGTACGCGGACTGTTCGACGAAATGCCTGTGAAGGATTATTTCACTTGGACTGTCTTGATAACTGCGTATTCTCAGAATGATCGACCTCAGGATGCTCTGGTTTTGTTTCCTCAGATGATTAGGCTTGGGTTGGAACCGAATGAGTTCACCTTGTCTAGCGTGATGAAGGCAGCTGCTTTTGGCCCTACGGATAGTTATGGTAGGCAACTCCATGTATTTTGTCTCAAGTATGGTTATGATGAAAACGTCTATGTAGGCAGCTCTCTTTTGGACATGTATGCTAGGTGTGGTCGTATGAATGATGCACGGTTGATATTTGATAGTTTGGACAGCAAGAATGAGGTTTCTTGGAATGCTTTGATTGCTGGTCATGCTAGGAAAGGTGAGGGAGCAGAGGCGCTTGGTGTTTTCTGGAGGATGCTAAGGGACGATTTTGAGCCGACCCATTTTACCTATTCCAGTGTCTTTGGTGCTTGTGCCAGCAATGGGTTTCTGGAACAAGGCAAATGGGTTCATGCTCATATGATTAAATCCGGAGGAAAACTTGTTGCTTTTGTAGGGAATGCACTAGTAAACATGTATGCAAAATCAGGGAGTATTAACGATGCTAGAAAAGTTTTTGACAGGTTGGTTAAACAAGATGTGGTTTCTTGGAATTCCATGCTTACTGGTTATGCCCAACATGGACTAGGGAAAGAAGCTGTGCAGTGGTTTGAAGAGATGTTAAAGATTGGAATTGCACCTACTGATGTTACGTTCCTCTGTGTACTTACTGCTTGTAGCCATGCTGGTTTTTTAGAGGAAGGACAATATTATTTTGATTTGACGAAGAAGTACAAAGTAGAACCACAGGTTTCTCATTATGTGACAATTGTGGATCTTCTTGGTCGTGCTGGTCTTCTTGACAGGGCTGAAAGGTTTATTAGAGAAATGCCAATAGAACCCACTGCAGCTGTCTGGGGAGCGCTGCTCGGTGCATGTAGGATGCATAAGAATATGGAACTTGGTACATATGCTGCTGAACGTGTTTTTGAGCTTGATCCCCATGATTCAGGTCCCCATGTGCTGCTTTATAATATCTATGCCTCTGCTGGTAGATGGAATGATGCTGCAAAAGTGAGGAAGATGATGAGAGAGTGTGGAGTGAAGAAAGAACCTGCTTGTAGCTGGGTAGAAATAGGGAATGCAATCCACATGTTTGTGTCGAATGATGATGCTCATCCCCAGATAAAGGAGATCTATAAGAAGTGGGAGGAGATCAGTGAAAAGATCAAGGACATAGGATATGTTCCAGACACTAGTCATGTGCTTCTCTTTGTGGATCAGCAGGAGAGAGAAGCGAAATTGCAGAACCATAGTGAGAAGCTTGCTTTGGCATTTGCGCTTCTCAACACTTCTCCAGGATCAACCATCAATATCAAGAAAAACATCAGGGTTTGCGGAGATTGCCATTCAGCAATCAAATTTGTGTCAAAGTTGGTGGGAAGGGAAATTATTGTGAGAGACACCAACCGTTTCCATCATTTCCATGATGGCTCTTGTTCTTGTGGAGACTACTGGTGATGCTAGTAATCAGAACCTAATCAGATAGAATTTCTGCAGATTGAGTAGTTTGTATGGATGAGGTCATCAATGCTAATGACATGGAGCAACTTGCATGTTGGCCTCCTGGCCTGTGCTGAAGACCCCTTCCATCTTCCAACCAAGAGGGTACATATTTATTTCATGATAGCTGAGGCCATCCCTAGAAAATTTCTGGGAAAGAATGTCCGCCAGCCCAAAAAGCAGGAGCGAAATGCCGGGAAAATCAAACAATATCTGATTCAGACACGAAATCCCAGATGCTGCCATTCCTCTTGCTGACAATCATCAAATTTTGATGTGCCAAATGAGATTTTCTGAGAAGCTAAAATAGAAATCCATAAAAATCCTGAAAAGATAAACGACGATGATATTCTTTCACATCCAAACGGATTAAACCATCTTCCATATTTAAAATATAAATCGTGAACTGGAGAATCTTGTATAGCAGAAAGTAATCAAAGAGTTTCCCATATTACTTTTATGGGGATTATACAATTCTTTGAATTATGCAGCCCATTTGGAGTGTGTAGATTTAAATGGGAAAATATATATAATATATTATATTATAAATAGATTTTGGTGTTTCCATTCACGCTGGCCTTTGAGGAAGTTGTTACACCTGCAGACAAGTCGTGTGTGTTGATAAAAGTGAACTGCTTTGACGAATTCTGACTGCTGTGATAACTGAAATGACCATGTGTGGGTTGGCTTTATATGGTGTAAAGATGTCAAATACTCGAGTTACCTGCCTGGAGAAGAGAAGGGAGGAAGATAATGGCGACACAGCTACTGTTCTTGACCTTCAATTCTCTCTATCTTCTTTTCCGTTCATTTTTTTTTTAAATATTTATTTATGATTATCATTGATAATAATATTGAAATCTATGAGACGGTGATGGTTTGTCCTTTGATGGTACTGATGTGGCAGAAGCAGATAGATAGGAGTAAGTGGTGGAGGGTTTTGCGTGGAGAGAATGCCTGGTGGCTTCCTGCTGCTAAAAATAGGGTGGAATGGGAAGAAAGACGAGCGGATCAGGACTCATCAAGAGACAAAAGCCACGCAAAAGAAGGAAACAACCCGCTGTTTTCTTAACCTACTGAGAAAAGGAGGTAAAATAGGCGTGACCAGGATGAGTGTGTTGAGTTCATGTTGTGTGTGTGTCTTTTTGGATGTGTGAATCTTCATGTGGTTAAAACGGTTTTCTTAGCTCAAAATCGCGTAGCGTGTGAGCAAAGTTTTTAATCATGATTTTCTTTTTATCAAAAATAAAGACCAATACAGTTGTATTCCAACCTCAGAAGGTGATCTTGGAAATATCACACCCACAAAACATTTCTCTTGCATTGCACCTTTTTAACATTTAAAAATATTTCCTTTTCGATTGATGTATCAATTTTTCATGTCCTGCTCTCTCTTTCGCCATTTCCCATCTCCTTTTTTTGCAGTACTTCTGTTTCATATTTGAAGTTTCTGATTGCATGTCCCAAAGAAGCTTGTGTTTTGTTGCATTTCGCGTCGATCAATTGAATGTAAAGATTGTTAATTTCTGCAGTTCTGATAATTGGGATTCTTTCTTTTTATCATTTATTGCTTACAACTTCAGAAACTTTCCGTTTTCTTTTTCATTAGAGAAACATGTGCGGAGCATCTGAAAATGAATGTGATATTTACCTGCCAATCTTTTGTTCTTCTCTTTGTCTCTCTAGCCATCTCTCTTTTTTGCTTCAATGGAAATGTCAATTATATGGCGTTTCTAAGCTCAATTTTCTCCCTTGTATTGCTAACAGGAAGACTAAAGTCATGGAGAAGGAGAAGAAGAAACGAGGAAGAGAAGAAGAGAAGAGAAATCTCATAGAAAAGAATGCCAAGAAACAGGATCTTACTCCGAACAGAAATATTACCTTCAACTTCAACGACAAGTACTACCCTCATGATGACTGTGACAGCTGCGATTCATCAGACGATCATTCAGCCTTAGGAGTGTTTGATTTCCCGTGGCTGCACGAAGGCATGATCTCCAAAGCAGAGGACTGGACTTTTGAAGACACCTTCTCGTCATCACTCAATGACCCTTGCAGCCCGGCTGGTGGGATGGAATTCACAAGGCAGTGTTTGTATGATTCTCCAAAGATAATACCCACAACATGTTCTCAATGCGATCACAAGTTTGAGGAAAAAGTAATCTGGCCATTGAAAAGTGACGGTGAATTGGAACTGGAGGGTTTTGATTGTGTCTGGAACTCTCTGGTCAATCAGAGCCTTCTATAGTGTGAATAGCAGATATACGAAGCTTGAAAAGAGTTGATTAATGGAACGGGATATAGAACCAAGAAGATGGTCTTGGACTGAGAAATTTATCACAAGGATAAAAAGGTATCTTTGTAGAATTTGGTCTTCTATATTTCTATATTCTGAGAATTTTATTATATTTTTGCTCAAACCATTATTTTTTTCCCCATCTAACCGTGTCTGTAAACCAGGACAACCATTAGGTCAAAAGCAAGGAAAGAATTAAACTTGTGCTTGAACTTTTTTCCTTGTTTTCTAGGATTATAACCTTAGTAAAGACTTAGAACATGAGCTGGTTGAGAATCCCCAATGAGGGGAATTGCCAATCTGCAAAAGATGACACTGGCAAACTTGTGGTTGATTTATTACCAGCTTTCATCAACTCTGATATGTTACTGGTCAGACTCTGTTTGGGAGAGGGGAGGGGATGATGTTATTTTCTATTTTTGATTTATTTAATGTAAAAAAAACAATGTACATGTTTCCCTTTATAGATGTTTTTGTTGATTAAATGATGGAGATGCTTTTGGAATTATCATACAAGGCAAGCATACCCAGAAAAGTAAAAGGATGTCTGATGTGATCCTCTGAAACATCACAGAAAATGAATGAGAGAGAGAAAACTTTTTACTGAGAGAAGCATCTTCAAAATGACTTCGTTACATTTCAATTCTCAAATATATAATTTTGTTGAATATCTTTTTATCTACTTTTTACTGTTATAATTATGTTTAAGTTAATAACAGAGAATATGAGTTTGGAACGATGAACTGTTTATTTTTATATGTTCTTCTCAGATTGTGTCTTATTAAAAAAAAATTATGTTATTACTGCGTTAAACATGGAATCTAAGGAATTCCATTATTACGAGAGTGTTGAAGATAAAAAGGATGAACAGAGCTCACCATTATACCTCCCATGGATAACCTTTGATGTTTATAGAATCCTAGGATTGACATTGACTCTCACAATGCAGCAAACATGGATATACATATATATATATATATATATTAAGTATGTATTTGTGTGTGTGTGTGTGTATATATATATATATAGCTAGAGATGAAGATTTAAAGTATGACTTTCTCTTTTACATATTTTCTTTTCTCTCATTATTTATGCCTCGGAACTACTTCAATTTTTTAAAACTAAAAAAATAATTTTCAATTTATATATTAATTTTATTTTTACAAACCCATTTGTATTTCTGAAAAAAAGAAGATTTTTTTTTTTTTATAAGAAAATTTTAAGAATGTGATTTTATTTTGAAAGTGTCGGTTTGATTTTATTTAAAAATAATAATCAGTATAAAAAAAATCTAAAGCTAAATTATTGAGAGAATATATATATATATATATATATGTATATTTGGTAGGACAGAGAGAAGTGTGAGTGGACGAGTAGCAGGAGCGGCCATGTATGAAGAGCTAAGCTGCCGACAGCTCAAGGAATATTTATAGGTGTTAGCTGGTGGTGTGGCCGATTTATGGCCCAATTTTATTTCCTCTCTTTTTTGGATATTCCAGCTCAACCCTACCCATCTCTTTATTATATATACATATATACATACACATACATACATACACCTATATATATATATATACAATAATAATAATAATAATACATATTAACGTAATCACTTAAAAATTAGATTGAAATTTATAATGGTTTTAGATATTCCAACCAACTTTTTTAGTTCTTAGAAATATATGTAATTTATTACGTGATAAATACGTAATTATTTTGAGTTGACAAGATTTTGATGTAAGATTTTATGTCAGATTCTATATGATATAAAAATAATTTAATTTTAGTCATAAAAAGATACACACGTGTGTGTGTGTGTATATATATATATATATCTTGATTTAAGTAAAATTGTAACTTCAGGCCAAATACATTACAAAATTACACATAAATAAATATGAATAATTAACCATTATTATTATTAATTTTAAGGGCAATTAATTTGCTGATAATTGGTGCTTAAATTGATATACTAAAGATTCTCAATATATATATATATATATATATATATATACAATGTATTAGAGAGGTTTGGACGGTTGACTTTTGCCTTGTTAATTATACTTCTTTACGTACTAAGGCAAGATGGCAGCTACTACACGTGGAATTAAGACTATATTTTTAGAATTTCATTTAAAATTAAACCCTTTATTTATAGTATATTTCAATTATTAAAAATATAAAAAAAAAAGAAAAAAGAAAAAATATAATATTAAAAATAAAAAAATATCGCATCATTAATTTTTATTTAAAAATAAAATTATTTATTTGGATGATAAAAAATAAATAATTATTTTATAAATTATTATTCATTATCGTCGATGTACAAAAGGGTTCAGGGTCCGTGAGTCACGCCGTTAAAGAGTTGTAAATACAATTATTGATGCCGTCGATGACGCTTAATCGCGGCCAAGGCGCGTGGTCTGATTTAGGAAAGTAGAGTGAAATAAGAAACAAGCGGAAACACCCTGTCTGTCTTTTACATTTTCATTTTCCTTTTTAATTTATTTTCCTAATTTAATCATCGTCATTTAACTACCACCAATGCTCCACACTTCACAACACCCTTCTATAAATACAACAACTTGTCAATTAATATTAAAAAAAAAGTATTAATTTATTTCTTTAATTTTATTTTTTGGCTCGTCTGATCTTTCACTCTCAATCTTCATCTCCTCCATCCGTCTTCTCCCACCCAGTGCCGACGATTTGTGTCATCTTTTTTTACTCTCTTCTTCTTCTTCTTCTTCTTTATGGCCGAGAAACAGCAAGAAACATTTGTATAAACATTACCCACAAACACTCTGTATCTCTCCATTCACAAAGTGTTCATCTTTTAGGTGGGTTCTTCCTGCTTTTTACTTAAAGAATGCGGGTTTCTGCCAAATGCAGATTCAGATTCGTCTAGCTGATTTAACCCAGAAAGTGTCTTTCTTTTCACCCGTCTTTTTAGGAGATAATTACACTTGATCTCTTTTTTTTTTTTTTTTCATTCCTCAATAATCCGAAGGGGAGGGTGAAATACGGAGGAGGGAAGGAGGGAGGGTGAGGTGGTTGGAAGAGGAAGAAGAGGAAGAAAAAGAAGATGATGATGAAAATGAAGGCGAGGAATTTGGTGATTGTTCTGCTAATCGTCACGGTGGTGGCTCCTATCGTTCTTTACACTGACCGTGTCGGCACCTTCAAGGCTTCGCCTTGTATGTTTCTTTAATGGATTGCTTCAAAATCTTCTTGGATTTTCTTTTCTCATTTCTTAACCTTTTTCTAATGTCATCTTCTCCTCTCCGGGTGCAGCTCGACGAGAATTTCTCGAAGAAGTTACGACTCTTGTGAGTACTCTTTTGCGTTTCATTTTCTTTTCCTCCTCTCTTGGTCTCTTTTGGTATAGTCTTTCTGATTTCTTCCCTGCAATTTCTCTCCAGACTTTCAGTGGGGATAGCAGGCATAGTAATCTGATTTCCCAGGTGCGCTAATCTTTTTCTTGGGCAATTCTCAAAATAATTCCGAGTTAAATTCCAGATCTTTATTAATTTTCCCCTCTTTCTTCTTCTTTTGGGTCACAGGAATCTTCCATAACCCTCAAGGTTCCCGAAGGCGTTGTATATTCTGATGAAAATTCTGCCAATTCTCTTCTTGTTTCTAGTTCTTCAGCTCAAGCTAATGATTCTGCTGAAGCTCAAGGTACAGTTTTCTGTTTCTTACTCACTATTTTTATGAGTTTCAGCTTTGTTCTTGTGAAATTTATACCTGCAACTTCCAAGCTTGTTTAGGGTTGTGGTCTGATTTTGTACACGTTGTCTGGGTATTATTAACTAGATTTAGGATTGCAAGAAACAAGGGAGCATAAATCTGCTCGAGTATTATCCACAACTAATGAGGATGATCAATCCCAATCTGCAAATCCCATCAAACTAGTAACTGATGTGGGAGATCAGAGATCCATGGAATTGGGTTCCCAGAAAGTTGAAGAAGACGGAGGTAGCATTCAAAGATTAGCTGAGCAGACATCCATTATTGACTCCAAAAATAAGGTAATTTCTTTTTATGTTCTACGTCTTGTTCAATTAACATCAGCTCCTTGCGTGTGCACGAAAAGTCCTCGTTAGATTTTTTAGGCCTGAAAAAGTATTTAACTACTAATTCCTTCCAAGGATGTTAATGAGATAATTAGCCTTTTCATATTCTATAATATTTTATTTCATGAAGTTTCAAATTATTCTCCATTAGTCAATTGTTTCTGGTGGACTAGTGGTGGAAACAGTCATATGTACATGGGTTTGACAGCCTATGGTTTCCTCAACTGTAGCTGAGGTTGGAATTTGAAGCAACTATAAACAGAGCTAGCCCTTTGATGAACTAGATTTCCTTGCACTGAAAATTTCGAGTAATTAGAAACAAGAAACATGAGCTTACTTTTGTTCTCTGCCTTCATGTTGGGCCCAATTAGTTCATCTTAAAGTGTGTTAACTCAAAAAGTAGTTGCAAAATTTTTATTTATTGCAGAACATATCCTTTCTGTCAACTTATAATTCTTATTCTAGTCTCGAAGACTATTTCCTTTTTTCTAATATTAAAACTTTTGATTGGGTGACAACTTCAAATCCATGTGTCCTGAGACTTAATCTGTTTGTTTACCTTTTGGTATCTAATTTACTTTTTCCTTTCTCAACACTAATGGTTCTTGTTATAGGATATAAAGCAGGAGAAAGTTTCGGTGCAAATCTCTGGCAAGGTTGATGGAAATGAAGTGAGAGATGCTAGAGCTGAAAAACAGACTGAGCAAGTAACTGTGCCAGATGCACGAGTGCGGCAACTTAAAGATCAACTAATCAGGGCAAAGGTTTACCTTTCCCTTCCAGCCACAAAAGGCAATGCCCATTTTGTAAGGGAGCTCCGATTGCGGATTAAGGAAGTTCAACGTGTATTGGGAGATGCATCCAAGGATTCTGATCTGCCAAAAACGTATTGCTTCTTTCTTCAAAAAGCAATCAGTATTTCAAGCTTATCGAACTTTCTCTTTCTTTTTTCCTCCCCACTCAAATGCAAATTTGATTTTTCTTATATTCCTTAGTAAATGCCTCAAGTTATCTTAATCATGAAATTTACAGTGGCTTAATTTGTAAATATGAAATTCATTATTGCAGTGCCTACGACAAATTGAAGGCAATGGAGCAAACACTTGCCAAGGGCAAGCAGATTCATGACGACTGTGCTGCGATAGTAAAGAAGCTTCGGGCTATGCTCCATTCAACAGAAGAGCAGCTTCGAGTGCACAAGAAGCAGACCATGTTCTTGACACAGTTAACAGCTAAAACACTTCCTAAAGGCTTGCACTGTCTTCCTTTACGCCTAACAACCGAGTATTATAGCTTGAATTCTTCTCAACAACAATTTCCAAATCAAGAGAAATTAGAAGACCCCAAGCTCCAGCACTATGCACTTTTCTCTGATAACGTTTTGGCAGCAGCAGTTGTTGTAAACTCTACCGTGACTAATGCTAAGGTATGTTCTTGTTCAGTAGTTACAGTCTATTCCCCTTCGTTTACCAAGGAGACAGAACTGAAACAAATTTTGCATGGATCCTAAGATCTTCTTTTCCTTCTCTTTTTCATAATTTTCTTGCTTCATTAGTTGAAGATTTTCTTTTCTTTTTATGGAAGAGGGTTGGAGGGTTCAGAACATCATCTTGGTGATAACATTTTACTAGCTATGAAGATGCAATTTTTTTTACCTTTAAACACTGTTTTTCATTTATTTCCTTGCAGCACCCCTCGAACCTTGTCTTCCACATTGTTACGGACAGGCTCAACTATGCAGCAATGAGGATGTGGTTTCTCGTTAATCCACCTGGGAAAGCCACTATTGAGGTTCAAAATATTGAAGAGTTTTCATGGCTAAATGCAAGTTATAGTCCAGTCCTTAAGCAGTTGGGTTCCCAATCCATGATTGACTATTACTTTAGAGCTCATCGAGCTAATTCTGATTCCAATTTGAAATTTCGAAATCCAAAGTACCTATCCATCCTGAACCATCTACGCTTTTACCTGCCAGAGATCTTTCCTAAGCTCAATAAAGTTGTCTTCTTGGATGATGATATAGTTGTGCAGAAAGATCTCAGTGGCCTTTGGGCCCTTGATCTGAAGGGTAATGTTAATGGTGCTGTGGAGACTTGTGGAGAAAACTTCCATCGCTTTGATCGGTATCTTAACTTCTCAAATCCGCTCATCTCTAAGAATTTTGACCCTCATGCTTGTGGATGGGCATATGGGATGAATGTCTTTGATTTGGAGGAATGGAAGAGGCAAAACATCACAGAGGTGTATCATCAATGGCAGAAACTGGTAAGTGATATGTTTAGATGTTAGGTAGGCACTTTACAGATTTCAAACCATCGTAAACTTGTATTTAAGTTGAAATCTGAATCATGGTTTTGTCCACAGAATCATGACAGACAGTTATGGAAGTTGGGGACCTTGCCACCGGGTCTCATAACATTTTGGAATCGCACATTTCCAATTGATCGAAATTGGCATGTGCTTGGCCTTGGTTACAACCCAAACGTCAACCAGAGGGATATTGAACGTGCAGCTGTCGTACACTACAACGGCAACATGAAACCATGGTTGGAGATAGGCATACCAAAATACAAAAACAACTGGGCAAAATATGTGGATTATGATCACATGTATTTGCGGGAGTGCAACATCAACCCATAAATATGGCCTTCATGACACAGTTCCCCCCACATTTACCTAATCTTGGCCATGCATTTTTACAGCTGCGCATCGCTTTGCATAGGTTCTTTTTATTAAGAGGTATAAATCCTGAGTTTGATTCTTTACTGTATACATTTTGATTTTTTTTCTTCTTTCCCGAGCCATGGTAGATTCAGAGGGAAACTGCATTATAGTATATTTCTTTTTTTTTCTTCATTCTTAGTTACATGTCTGCAAAATTCTGCAGATGCATATGTAAATGAGTGGAAGCTAGATTTTTCTTTTTGGGTTTAATTTTTTTAAAGCTATTGGCTCTCTCTATACAATTAGTTCATGTGATATATATGGTGTTGTAACTTCAGAGTTTGTTGGCAATTGGCAACATCTTGGCCTTTTGTATCTTCCTTGATTCTGTTAAAAATCAAAGCTTTCATTATGTCAATATTTATGCACGTGATACTACCTGGACTGATAAAATGAAACAGCAAAACTCGAGTAACGACGACAGTGCTTGGTGGGATGTTGTGGATGCTATTAGGTGAGAAGTGGAAGGCAAGCATTATCAAACATTGCTTGGTGAAGGTAATCTTCTGTTTCATCATTTAGCCGCCACCATGGAAAAAAGGCAGAAACTTTAGATTGCCAAGTTATCATTGAGGGGCGTGATTGATACTTTGACTGACATGTAAATGCTGTTGTATGAGTTGCATCCTCCTGATATCGTTAAGGTTATACGTTTCTGTTTTAACCCAAAAAAAAAAAGAAAACTTTAGGTTGCCAAGTTATTAGGAGAAGTTTCAGTCACATGGGTTTGGCTGGAGAGTGAATCAAAGTTAAGGATCTGGTAGTATAACAAATGGGTATATATGATCACGGGGACTTTCTGTATGAGGAGAGCTGCAATTAGCCACCAAACCTGCATTGTGCTTGTTCACGGGTACGGAGTGAGTGAATCAAAGTAGAGGTCACATGGTGGTGGGCCATTTACCAGCATTGTTCACCATTGCACTTTCTCTGTCATTATATAATTTAGCGGGAATCTACCAATGAAAGAAGATAGGAAGGTGCTAAGTTTTCATATTTTGTGGGCCTGCGTCTGTCGGTTTATTTTCCTCAAGACTTTGCCGTCCTCTTCCTTCTGTTTGTCATTTTATGTAATCTATAGACCAGGAGTAGCTTGTGGAGCCATCTTGACCACTCCGTCCTTCATGTGGGAGAGCTTCTGAGTTTGATAACGGAGAGATTGATTTAGAAAATTTCGTATGGAGTAGGTTTTCATGTTTCTTCTTTTACAAGTAGTTGTATATTATGCCACGCACACCCATAATCTGGTCAGATACAGCTGGCTTTCGAAGATGATGTCAAAGACCATTAATGTTTCTGTTTGATATCTCTTGTAACAAGACATACATACCATTTTATATACAAGATTTACAAATTGCTGAATTCCCACTTCTGCAACTCCACAAAATGAAAAGGTTTTCCTCCCATATTCATCCCCTCTTCTTCTTCATCTTCGTGGTGCTGCTGCTAATCGACCATTCTTCTGCAAAACCAACAGAACTGGTGGATAAAGTCTGCAACCGAACATCTGACTACGCCTTCTGTGTAAATTCTCTATACTCAGATCCTCGTACCTCAAATGCTGATAGCTATACACTTGCTTACATCTCATTCGGCCTGGCCTACCTTAATGCCACAGCCAGCCATGATAATATACTAAACCTCCTCAACAAGCCGTCTGGTGCAAGTCACGAGCGGCTCAAGATATGTGAGCAGGATTATGGCAAGGCGACCTTGGCCCTTGAACAGTCCTTCAATGACCTTAACTCTGAGACATTCTTTACGCTTCCTGAATTAGCAAATCACGGTGCTCGCGCAGCGAGTGATTGTCAAGCTGCTTTTGCTGGAAGTTCTTGCAATCCATTGAGTGAAATGAATATGAATTTGAAGGGTCTTTGTGGAATCTGTGTTGTGGTGTCTGAGCTGTTCACTGGATGATCTTCTTGAATCAATTTGGAAATTTACATCTCAGCATCGCTGTAATATAGATATATATATATATGTAACATGTATACATATGTAGTCTTGTAGTTTTTGTATATAATAATTATAAAAGCAAGAATACACTTTTTATTAGATAAATATTTTGAATGAAGAAACTCAACAAAGTATTATTTGTTCGCTATGATCGGAGTATAAACTCACAAATCCTTAAGTCTTATACGAAAGTGTGATCGGGATAAACTCATAAATCGTTAAATTTTATATAAAAATATGATCAGAATAAATTTATAGATCATAATATAAACTCACAAATTGTTAAATTTTATATAAGTGTAGTGTAATTCGAATAAATACTATATAATAAAATATAAATCAGCTTAATATATTAAGCTGATGTAAATGTGAATATTATATATATATATACATATATTAAGTCAAGATATAGTATATGTTTTTTTAATTAAAAACAAAAATATATTATATTCTAATTAAAATTATGCTATAATTTTTTATTTCAATTAAAAATATATTACATATGATCAATTCGAATATTTTCTTCCAAATTCGAACCAATCCAAATTTAATTCAAATGTTAATTAATAAAATATATAATTAGTGTGTATATATTATGATTTTTTGTATATATGTAATTAAATTATATTTATTTTCACACAAAAAATTCAAAATTAACTTAAGCTGACCTACCAAAAAAAATCAGCAGTAGTTTCCATTTCCTCTTGCCTGGTTTGCATTGATTTCCATGATTACCCTTCAGTGGACACCATATTGCCAAGTGTGTCCTCCACAGCTTCTCCTCTTCCACGAAGATACGCCGAGCTGGTGGTTTTTCACTTTCTCATCTGATCATCTGCTAACCTCCGTGCTCATTAACAATAGTCCAAAGTTTGTCTCTACATCTGTCCATACGCGCACGTATATATATATATATATATATATATAAGTATATCAGCTTCCTGTTTATGCTGCTGTTGTTGGTTATATAGGACGTCGGAGAACAGAGAGAACCCAGAAACGGGGAAACCTCGGCAACTACTCTGGGAAGTTGAATTCATCTGCCTAAATCGGCTGTCAAGTTCCTCTCTTTAATATTTCTCGTTTGGGTATTAATTCTCTTACCTTGCTTTTGTTATTTACTTCAGCGACGCATAATGTGTTTGATGAAATGACTCAAAGAAGAAATCTTTGTGATGTTTATATCTAATAGCGTTTGGAAATTTTGGCTAAGAAATCTTTGATTAGGTGCAGATAAATGCTTCTGACACCACCAGCACTGTCTTCTATCCAATGGAGTCGGTCTCAAACAGGTGATTTTGGTTGGTTACGTCTCTGTAATTTTATTTTCTGATCAATATCCTTTGCCATAGATCTTATTCAAGGTGATTCTAACATGGGTGCCTCTTCTTTGGTCCCATCTTGATCTTATCGTAAGTTGTAACGAAGTGTTCTACCATGAAAACTAATAATACATGGTTGGAGACGTAGTATATCCTTTTTTTGAGTATTTTAGACTCTTTCACTTATTCATATTGCTATGTGGTGTTCAATTTTTCAGCTGTTTGTCTGGAAGGAATGGAGTTTGAGACGCCTCAATTATCATCTCTAAGTTCTTGTGGTCTTTACTTTAAGGTTTATACTCTTCCCATAATGGCATTTTCTTCTGTTGTTTAGTTTGTTTCACAGAATTGATTTCTTAACGAGTATGAATAACTGTATGCAAAGGGATTTTTAGAACAATATTTTCCACGTCTTCGCTGTTAATTTGATTCTCATTTTTGTGTAATAAGTTAATATGTGGCATACACAAACAAATCTTCTGGCTATTTTGTAGAATAGGTTTCTAAATTTTACTGTGATCCTAGCAACAATTTTCCTACAGCCACATTTCAGATTCATTCTTTTTGCAGTTTAATTATAAGCAATGGCAGAGAGGTGATCTAAAGATTTCAAGAACCTTCCTCTGTTCCAGCCAGAAGCCCAGAGAAGATTTCCCTTTCAAGAGAAAACAAGTACGCCCACAAAATGTGGATCTTCCACCCATACTACCCAAGAGAAAGAAGAAACCTTATCCCGTTCCAATAAAGAAAATTCTGCAAGCCTCAAGAAAGGACAAAAAACTTGCACAGATGGGAATAGAGAAGCCCTTAGAGCCTCCAAAAAATGGGTTACTAGTACCTGATCTGATTCCTGTTGCTTACGAAGTGCTAGATGCCTGGAAAATTTTGATTAAAGGGCTTGCCCAGCTCTTGCATGTTATTCCTGTTTATGGTTGCAGGTATACTGTCTCATTTAGTTTCGTATATGGTCTTGCCATTGCATTCTTTATGTTCTTCAGTGAGTTGCTCGTGAGATTTTAGGTAAAGAGCTGTCAAGTTTTTAATGTCATTGGTTCTTCAGCAGTGAATGTTCAGAAGTTCATGTCGCCGAGGCTGGTCACCACATCCAAAATTGCTGTGGCCCAACGAGTGCACAACGCAGGAGCTTCCATTCATGGGTCAAGGGGTCCATCAATGACATACTTCTTCCTATTGAATCATATCACCTATATGACCCTTTCGGACGACGAATCAAGCATGAGACTCGGTTTGACTATGACAGGATTCCAGCTATTGTAGAGTTATGCATCCAAGCTGGTGTGGATATACCAGAATACCCTTCACGTCGAAGAACTAACCCTATCCGTATGATTGGGAAGAAAGTGATTGACCGTGGTGGATTTGTTGAGGAGCCTAGACCTTGGCGGTTTGTCAATTCATCCTCATCCCCTCTCGTTGATCTTGATACACACGGTGCTTGCAGCCGATATCCACCTCCTCCATTGGCAGATGTACCAAGGATTGCCCAGGAAACAATGCATGCATACGAGACTGTTAGATCAGGGGTAACTAAATTAATGAAAAAGTATACAGTCAAAGCATGTGGATATTGTTCAGAGGTTCATATAGGACCATGGGGTCACAATGCAAAGCTTTGTGGGGAATTCAAGCACCAATGGAGGGATGGGAAGCATGGTTGGCAAGATGCCACTGTGGATGAAGTTTTCCCGCCAAATTATGTGTGGCATGTCCGGGACCCCAAAGGACCCCCATTGAGGGGTGCACTTAAGAGGTTTTATGGAAAGGCTCCTGCTGTGGTCGAAGTGTGTATGCAGGCAGGTGCAGAGATCCCAAGGAAATACAGGTCCATGATGAGGCTAGACATTGTAGTCCCTGACAGTGACGAGGCACAGTTGGTTGCATAGGGATATACAATAGAAGCTTCATCTTTCAGCAATACTATTTGGTAAGTGTATATATTAGTGTCAAGTTCTTATTATGATTTGTTCATATAAAGCTAAGTTAGAAAAGGCATCTGGAATTCAAGACCGCTATATTTTGCTTCCTAACTCTTGACACTTAGCAATGTAGTTGTAACATGAATTCAATGAGTGAACGAATTCTCTTCATTGATCGGTGTTTCAATCTTATACATCATTACGATCATTATTTTCATTAATTGTGGGGATTAATATTGGTCCTTGTTCCTTCAGTTGTTTTAACTTACTGAGTAAATAACAGTGAGAGTATGGTTCTATTGTAGAGGCTGAGTTCGTTTATTTTAACTGGATTCTGCCGGGCCCAACTGTTGGATCTCTATGTAAAATCTTTAGCAATATATGGGCACCCATTATTTTCTTGAGGGGGATCTTAGGCTCTCATAGGGAATAAATATTTGATGCCCACTTTGGACATGAATTGATAAACACAGCCTGTCAAATAAAAGCTTTGTGTGGACCAATCTTGAAGCATTATCACCTTCCTATTCACTGAGATGCATATTATTTATACATAATATAGGGTTAGTTTAGTTTGTAAGAAACATGTTTTTTTTGTCTCTGTCACTTTTACTTACAGTTTTTGTAGAGAGTATTTCCGGAGTAAAGTTTTTGACCAAATTGGTAGATCTTTCTTGGTTGTAGAGAGAATGTGGTTTGTTTAGTAGTCACATATCCACAAAAGATTCAAACTTGGAAGTTCAAATCCAAATTTGAGTTGTTACTTCCCAGCAAACAACAAAAAAAGGGGAGAAAAAAAAGGTGGAAGTGGAAGGAAATCATTACAGGCTTTTACCAGTGGGGGTTAGAGTCTGGAATTTAATACTCACAAATGACCAATCACCAATGTATAGCTCATGATTAGAAGATCACAAAGCTTAACAAAGTGATATCAAGCATGATTAGTTGAAGCAGGAAGACATTATCAGCAAAAGAAGGAATTTGACCTGTCAAATGCTGAACCTCTGTTCCCTTTTCCTGTGTGTGTATATACATATATGTACACACAGACATATACATATAGGGAGGGTTAGCTTCTTCTGCTTTATTGTATATAGAGTAGTAGGACACCAGCAACCTTTCCACTTTTCCATTTTTTGATGACCAAAGCCAAAGGCAAAGCAGAGAGTGATGCATTTTACTCATTCACTCACTCCAAACCCAATCCTCCCCCATATATGCATACATGTATATATATATATATATATATGTCAGTCAGCCCCACCTTCGAACTCATACCCAAATACAGTTCATACTGTCAACACCATATCCTTTTAATGCATCTGTCCTTTTCTTTCTTTGTGGGAAACTGAATTGATTTCTTTGCTATTTGTTATCATCAACACAAAAACACAAGCAAATTTTAAATGCAACCCATGTCTCCTCCCACAAGTGAGTTTCACTTCAAAAAAAAAAAAAAAAAAAATCAAATGTCCTTTCTAAATGGCTTGGAGAATGTAGTATGTATCACTTGGATTTCAGATACAAGTCAATGTCCTAGTGATAACCCATCACGGGTCTGGTTGTGAATTGGAAACTTTCAAATGAAAAAGACAAAAACTTGATGTGGGTGCTTCTGGTAAAAAAAAAAATTAGGGTAGACTGGATTGAAGAATGTGCATGTATAGTTTTATATATTTGTATCTGTCTTGATATGGGTATATTTATCTCTTTATATATTTATTAATTACAACATAAAGATACACAGAAACTTAAAATTCAATCTAAACTCATATGAAATACAAAGTATTCACTATTTAACCACTAAATAATTGCTGTTTAGAGAAAATATGCAGTATAAGATTTCTGTTCTCTAGTAGTCGGCAGGAGGGACCGGCCATATTATTTGTTTAATGGTCATTTCAAATTTCATACACATCATTCACAACTTTTTTTTCAATAATTTTTCAAACTTCTTGTGATCATTATCTTTTGTTCTTTGATTGTTCTGTCTGCTAGACTAATTATAATGCAAAAATGATTTTTTTAAGCTGATTGATCAAGATAATTTGGCTTTTTATACATGCCCTTAGCTCATGTATGGATAAACCAATCACATATATATAAACATATATGTGTATCTTGTGTTATATTACATGTATATTGATAGTAAGCAACCTACCCACCCATGGGCCATGGCATGTCAAATTGTCAATGAACTCACCAACTATAAATGGAAATAAAATAATTCAAGAATTAAGATACTTTTAAGTCAACATTATCGAGAGCCTTTGAAAAGCCAATTATATTTAAGAATCTTTTTAACTTAATTATATTTTTTAAATGAAAATTCGTAAATATCGTTAATCATATCACATATATACTAATCATAATACAATATTTTAACGATGACATAAAAAAAAAAAAAAATTAATTGTAACATCGGTGGGACAATCTCCCCTCGGTTTTTTTGGATGAAGCCTAGAAATGGAAGTGTGGGAAATTAAGTTGTTCAATTACAAGAAGCTGCTTTTAGCTTTTAGCTTTTGGCTTTTGGCAAAGATTGAATGAAGGGTCTTCTTTTTTTGTTCTCATAAATTTCAAATTCAAATCTAACGGTCTCTTTCTTTCTTGCCTTTGTCTTTTCTTCTTTTTTATTTTATAATTTCTTTGAATTTTCCACCACAAAATTCTGTCTGTGGAATCATTTAATAATGGCTCTTGCTTTTTTTTTTCGTCATTAAAAAAAAATTCAATTAAATTACATATTTGCCCAAGTATTTTAGGGTTATTGGAATTTAAATTTTATATTTTTTAATTAAAATTTATATATTTCATTAATTAAACACTATGTTCATATTAATAATGACATAATTTTAATTTTTTTGTAATAAATAAAATATAAATTTTTTTTTTTTTAAAAGCCAAAATTCATTTCAAACTCAAAAGAAATACAATTATATCTTGGAGTAGAACATCCCAAACACGAAAGGTAGGATAAATGCATGTAGCTCTTACAATATTGCAAGCAGACAAGTTCGAAAGAAGAAATTAGGACTTAAATATCTAACTGATTTGATGGTTTTATGAATCTATTTGATATTTTAATTTTAAACATAAATATAATTTTTAATCATTTTTTTTCTCGAACCGTAAAAAGAGAAAACTTCTTATACTTTTCTAGGGGAGGTAGTATTCATTTACGTCTATCCCAATGAGCCATTTATCGAATCGTTGCAATTGATGTTCGATCTCGACAAGAAGTAAGGGATCTTCAGAAAGTGAGTTTTTATTATTCGATAAATAATCAAATCTATTTAAATATTTCTGTAATTTTAGATTTTATTAAAAAATGTACTCAACCGATAGAAACTGTTTATGATATTTCAAAGAAGACAGAGGATTTGTATGGAACTTAATCTTAATCAAACGAAAGTCAATTAATGAAATAAAAAAAAAGGGTGTGGATAACTCGTATATAGCTTTGTATAAAGATTTCTCTACTCTTTTTCCTCCTTTTTTGCTCTATTCATACCTATTTAGTCTTCCTATTTAGTATTCCATTCCTATTAGAAAATATAATCTTCTATAATGTATAATGAGCAAAAATTAATTTTACGAAAATAGATTTTATTGTTATTGATATAATTTCATTGATATAAATTACATAGAAACAAAAATCAAGTGAATAAATGAAGTAATTGGTCTTAAAAAATATAATTTTTTCATTGTAAATCTATTAACAACTAACAAAACAAAGTGATTAAGATTAAGCTTGTCTATTTTTTTTTTATATTCTTATTCGTTTCTTTATATTTAATATTCACAATCATATTGATAAATACTGTATCGAACAAATATAATTCGATCATAGATAAATAAATCTATTTATCCCCGATCCATAAGTTTGGTTTTAAATTTTACTTTACTTCATTCAAATGATAGGTTCTTTGATTTTTTTCTGAGATAAAAAATTTTATTGTACGATACAATAAGTTTTTTTTTTGTTTATTAATAGTGAAAACAAAACGGATAAATAACATAAGAATAAGATAAGAGTAAGAGGCCGTCTATAAATTTTTATTACTTTCTCTATGATCTATGTCTTTTATTTGATTATTTTTAACTAATTCGTTCATTTTTTTTTTTAGGTTCAGAATGAATTAAAAAATTTATGGTCTACGATCTATAGTATTTTATATATTATTTAAACATCAACGTTAACTATGTCATGACCTGGTGAGTGATTATAATGAAATATAAATTTATTATTAAATATAAATATATTTTTTTTCATTATATATTAAATTTATAATTTCACAGAGTTATAATAAATTATATATATTAAATAATTAAAAATAAAATAATAAAATAATAGATTTAGATTGAATTCACTACAAACCAAAAATACTTAATTTTTTTTTTAAAATTTTTTTATTATATAAAAATCATATTTTAAGACATTCCAACTATTTAATTTTTTTTTTAAAATTACAAAATTATTTGTTGGACCAAATGTGCAGAGGGCCCACTAATTCAACATTTTTTTTTCTTTTCTTCTGCTTTGCACTTTGCTCCCCACTTCTTTTTCTTTTTGTATTTTTTAAAATAATAATTGTAATAATAATTATTATAAGAATAATATTACAATTTTATTTTTTGGGTTTGTATCTAAAATGGTTTAGCATATATATATATATATATATATTAAAAAATATTAACAAAATTATGGGAATAAATAGTAAATATATAAAATTTAATTTAATTTTTTTAAAAAGTAAAAAATTCTGATGTAATAAGGTGGAGCCCACCCCTTTTTAGTCTTCAGCAGCCGTAAAAAAAAATATTTATTTTATTTTTTTAATAAAAAGGTGTATGAGGAGTTACGGTTTGCCTCCGGATGCGTAATAATTGAATATAAATAACTCAGAAATGGAGGAACGCTCAACTTACCAGGCTGCTGACTGCTGCTGCTGGAGGAGGAAGAAGAAGACCACCATTTGAACCCAAAGCAAAAGTCTTTCTCTCTCACCAGAGCTGGGGACACATTGCAGACTCTGCAGCACCGCACCTTTTGTCTCCCTCTCTTTCTCTCTCTTTGAGTTCTCTGCTTTTGTTTAGTATAGCAACAGGTGGGACAAGAAGAAGAAGAAGAAGAAGAGGGAGAGAGAGAGAGAGAGAGAGAGAGAGGAGGAATGGGGGTAAGAGGTGCGTCGTCGAAGCTGAGGAAAGTGGCGAAGAAAATTGTTGTAGTTGCATGCGGTTCCTTCTCTAGGAAGCGTTCTTCTTCTCTTGTCGATCCTTCCGTAAGCTTCTCTCCTTCGTTCCCTCCCTTTTTTTCATCTCTTATGTTTCGGATTCCGCATTGCTCTGCTTCTTCTTTTTTATCTTTGGATTTCATTGTGGCGTTTGATTATGTATTTGCGTGATTCGACATTTTTGTTTGTTTTCTTCTTATAATTTGGGAAATTCTCTTTTGCCCCCCCTTTTACTTTCTGGTAAAGAAACAAATCCAGGAAACAGAAAACTCTTTTGCTTAATTAGTCTTACATTTCTTTACTATTTTCAGATTCTTGCTGAAATTTTTGTCTGCTTGAATTGAGGACTATAGATAGATACATGTATGCCTAGTGTGTGTGTGTGTGTGTGTGTGTGTATATATGTGTGCGTACGCTTTAATGGATGACGTTTCCAGCTCTGTTAATGAACAGATCTCGGCGCCTTCTCCATTGTCTCCCTCAAACCCTAACAGCATTTCACTACAACAAGAGGAAACCGCAGAGGAAGCAGAATCCACCATCACTAATAATGTCACTTGTAAGGTATGATACAACACTACCATTTCTTCCGCCTTCAGCTCAGCCATCCGATGATTCTGCTTTTGATGGTTATATTTTATCTATATAAAAGAAAAAAAAAATGAAACAAAAGCTTTGTTGGATTGCGTAATTAACGTATCCACTTCTTGTGTTGCTTTTGAACTTTGGGTTTTGGAATCCAATGACATTCAAGTTATGCCTGTGGGATCTCATGTTTACTTGTGCTATATATGTATATATGCCCATGCGCTTTCGTTCATTTCCCACAAGCTACTGTCCCCCTCTTTCTTCCCTTCAGTGATTTTCACACTGGCCGAGGATTTCTGTTTCTTTTGCTGCTCCACTTGCTTATTTATTAAAGTTTCAATAACACCATAAATTCAAATCTCTACAACCTTTCTGTACTTCATACAACAAACCCATGAGGCAATTTCATGAATAATCATACAACCTCGGGAAATTCCAGGCATGGGTTTTCATTACTTATGGCCTTTGCATTGGAGAATGGAACCGCTATGATACGGAGGTCCCACTTTCCATCATTCCGTGCACTCATGATTTCTCGCCACTCCACCACTTTCTCTTATTTTCGCCTTCCCATGTATATTCCAGATTACTGCAGTTCTTACTTGATATTTTAAAATCGAAAGAAAATCTGAAAGGAAAATAAAAAAAGTGAATTTTCTGGGTTAATATGCTCGTAGCTTAGAGATTCTTGTTACAATGACGGTTCTAATCTTTAGTTATGAGATTGGATAAAAAAAATTCAAACATTTTCTGATGTAGAGAGTGTCCCTAAGTCTTTGCACTGGAACTTGCATTATGGATCTTCACGCAAATGTAAAAACTGCAGTCTACTGATTCTTAAATACTATTTGTCGTGTATAGAGTGACTAGTTATCACGGAAGTTA